CTCCTCCTCCTCCTCCTCCGGGCGGGCGGTGACAGAGAGCGGTGATGGATCCCCCCACCCACTGCAAGGACCCCCCTACCCTTCCCCAATATGACAACAGAAAGGAAATAAACCCAACATTTTTGTCTACCCCTAAGTTAGCTTAGGTTCTCCTGCTATAGCGGAGTAAAAGATAGGTTCAGTAAGGTAGTTCAGATACAAGACAGACAACAATCCAATCAAATATCTTATCTTTCCTTTGGGTGTTCTTTTCGGATAATATCATTGAAGTGGTTTCAAGTCAGTTGTATACAGTCATTGCATTGATTATTAGGTAACTTGCTTCAGTGTTGAGCAAAATCTATCAAGCACACCTCAAAAAAAGGGGGGAAACAATATTCACCACTTGGTGAGAAGGAAAGGCAAAACAATGTTCCGTCGATCATGACCGGAATAATGTAAAGTGTATGTATAGCAGAATGGAAAGATCCAAACGGTTGGGTCATGTTACAGACGTTTCTAATCTCCAACATTATCCGGACTTTGTAACAGCCTGGAGATCATTGAGAAACAAAAAAATAGGGGGGGGCATAAAAAACAAGCGATGTAGTGGCCAGAACATAAGTACGTGAACGTGCATATCACAATCCCCGCATCCAGTCTACATACCATGAGAACATAAAAGGAAAGGACATCATTATCATATTCCGTGCACCTCGTCAAGGGTAATTTTAGGCAGGAATCTCTCCTCATGCAAAGCTCTGCTGTCCGGCCGCAGCCCCCTCGACAAGCACTTGACCGGCATCGTTGCCCTGGTCGATGTTGTGGAAGTCCAGGATTTCGGAGTACCTGTCTTGTTGTCAGCATTGTGGATTCCTCTGCATCGTGCCGTTATGAAACCCACATCATAATCTTCCATGTATCCACAGGTAGGTCGGCATCGTTGAATGACCAGTCGAACTTCTCCTCAGCCTCAGGCTCGTCGGTCGGATCGTGATACGGGGCAAGGTACTCGTGGGCAAGGGCCTCGCCAGCCCGGATGCGCTTCTTCGGGTCAAATACAAGCATTTTTTCCAGCAGATCGACCGCTAATAAATGTCAGCAAGGCTCTCGCCTTCAACCGCAAAGGAGGACATGATATTCGTACCATCTGGATCGGCATTCTTGAACTTGGTGGCCAGAGGTTGTCGCTCACGCTTGGGTAGCGACTTGACGAATCGCAACGTCTAATGATCACAATAAGAGTTAGTTTTCGGCGCTGGAGGATTCGGACCGATTGTCACCCACATTCTCGCTGCAAATTGTCTGGATCACGTCGTCGGGCGGAGTTCCCAGCAGCTCCGTGATGATCGAGAATTGATTGACGTGATCTTTTCCGGGAAACAGGGGCTTTCCTTCCAGCATCTCCGCAAAAATACATGCTGCGCTCCAAATATCCACCTCCACGTCGTACTTCTGCCAAGTGAGCATGATCTCAGGCGCACGGTAATACCGGGTCGAAACATAGCCGGTCATCTGCGGATCCTGGATACGGGCAAGACCAAAATCGCAGATTTTCAGGTCGCAGTTCTCGTTGATAAGGATGTTGCTGGGTTTGAGGTCACGATGAACGACACCGGCCGAGTGGACATATTTCAACCCCCGCTATAGACCATTAGTGACCGTCACGAGAAGGCGTCTGGGAGACGAGATGACAGGATCGGTGCCGACTACATACCAGAATCTGGTAAAGGAAATATTGAATAAACTGCTTTTCAAGAGGCCGCGAAGTTAACAATCTGTGGAGATCGGTGCCCAGCAGCTCTGTGACGAAATAACTGCGGTTACCATGTTAGAGTTAAACTTGTCGCAGGGAATGATGACGAATGCGTACATATCCTCCAGCGGGGAGATAAAGATATCGCTCAGACTGATGATCTGCAAATTGTCAGCCTTGGGAGCACGGCGGGGCGGCGAATCGCCGTCAAGCGGCATAGACCAACATTTTCGTGTCGCAGGTGTTTCAACAGTTTTAATTCACGGTATGTTCTCTTGGACAGGACGGGTGTGCTGAATGGCTTCATGATTTTCTTGACGGCGACTGGTTGCCCGGTCAATTGATCCCGCGCCGAACTGGTCGAACCCAAAGGGGCGCATGTCAGTAAAATGCTCGGTTGATTGACCTGCAGAAACCAGGCGTCGCGATCAAAAAGCAAGAATAGGGGCCGCTGTTAATAGCCATACCAGACAAGACCGAAAGCGCCCATTCCCACCGGCTGCAAGTCGGTGTACCTGTGAAGTCCGAAATTAGAAGTCATCCCGACACGCTTGGAGGGGTAATTTGGGCTCAGTCCGTCCTACCGGCTGGTGATCTCAAAAGTGGTGCCAAAAATCTGGGCACGCACGAATTCCGCCATTTTGAACCAAGGATGGATGGCACACCAGGTTCAGTTCAATGCAGAAAGGGAGGAAATACGAGGGTTTGTATTTTGGAACGGAGATTCACGGGGGGCGGTGGATAACGTAGCGAGGATGTGAAGGGGGGGGAGCGAGAGTGAGGGGGGGAGAGAAATGGAGGAGGAGTAAGAGTGAGAGGGAGGAAATGATGTCTGGAGAAAGAAGACCAGGTCCTGCGGGCGCAGGGAGGAATATCTAAGTTAAGATGTCAAGCGCACCAAAGTTGGAGAGAGGGGGAGAAAAGAGAAAGCAAGAACAAGAATGAGATGGTGAGTGAGTGAGTGAGTGAGTAGCGAGGCAGCAAAAGCCGTAGGTGGCGCCCCAGCAGGGTGTGTGGGGAAAAGACCATTCTTCTTCCTAGTCCGTTGAGTTCGAGTTTCCGGAACGCCCAAAACAAGACCGATGACGTCCGCGAACGAAGCAGGGTATGGCAGAAAAACTGCCGCCGCCATAATCAACACACACACACACACACCGCAGCCTTAAGCCAGAAATTTGGGTTGGTGTGATTTCGTTTCCCCTAGTTATCCCTGGTCTCCTTTCCTCCCACCACCTGGCTGGCTTGATCCCAGATTTTTCTTGTCTAGAACCCTTTTTCGTCGGAATCTATTGGCCGGAAGTGGACACCCCTCCAGATGATGCTGTTCTCTCACTACGCTTACCTAACCGTCCAGCATAACTCACTGGCTGCTAAGGAGGACTACGGAGACGTAGGGATACTTTTTCCCCCAGAAGAACTCTGGCTTTCATGCGTGGTACCTGAAGTACCCAGTCGATGACTTCAGGACGGTACATTCATTCATATTGCAACATTGATTTCTATACTACCCCCACAACCGCATCTACGACAGTGACCATGACAACCGAAACCAAAAACACAATAAAGATGAGGATCATATCAAGATCCTGAATAACACATCTATATTGGCAATTCGAAAGTTGTGGCGGCACCGGTCTGGGAACCAGAACCAAAATCACATCGATATATCGGCCGATTATGGAAGAAATCCAGATGCGCACATAATAGAATGGCCAGCCAGGTCGAAGCATGGACTTCCGGCTGGACTAGGCTGGCTGGCTTTTCACTACGTAATGTTTCGACCTTTGCTGGACGATGTCATCATACCTTGGTGGGTCTGCAAGGTGACGGTTCCAATCACTTCCATTTCCTTCGCGCGTCAAAACCCATCCCGCTCCATCTTTTTTCCCGCTGTCCCCCTCTAGATCTATACCTCTTACCGCCTCCGCCTTCTCAAGTCTGCCTTTTCTCTGTCTCCCCTATGGCAATCGATCTCAGATCCCCTTTTCTAGCTATATCCTTATCTACTGAGTATAACCTATATTACATCTACTAGTCCTGTATGTAGCTTCAGGGACTGAGGCTCCCTTCCCCCCTTCCCCCAGATTTAAGAATTATCTAAATCGATTAACTATCTGGACTGTCTCAATTCTTGACTCCACCAGGTCGAGACAACATGTTGCGGTTGTCGGTAAAGGCCGCCCGCCCCTCGTTGGGTCCAAGCGCTTATGTACTGTCCATCAAGAGGGCGACTTTCGTTTGGAACATTCTTCCTGGTTTACCCGAGACTCGGTTGATTTTACATTCTCCTGGAGTAGGTCACCTTTATATCCAGACTCCCCATCATTTATTTATTCGTGCCACGACTCGGGTTCGGGTTAGATAGTAAAGCGTGCCTGATCCGCCTGGGTAAGACATGCCTATCTAGGTACTGTCGAAACATGAGAACGGTAGATGGGGAATGAATGGAAATGATCAACCTATAAGGTAGTGAGGTTGAAGAAGTATGGTGTTCAGCGTTTGAGGTTCCAATCCAATAGATTGTGTTCAAGGTGAGGCATTACAGCTCGAACACTGCTACCGAGGTAGCTGGACATCAATATATACCTGGTACCAATAAGTTCACAGCAATTTGAACCCAGCAAATGGTACTCCGTAGTCTTCTTCGTACTTGAAAAGTGCAGGGTGGAAGAACCTGTCTTGAACTTGCGAGCGCCGCATGTTCCCGAGCCCACTCATAGCCATGTGCCTTTGTTTCTCACGGACCATCAGCAATGAGAGTAGCGAATGATGAGGAGGGGGGAAGAACAATAACAAGCCAAGAACCCATGTCAATAGACGCCCTGTAGTCTAACTCTGGAACTCCGACCCGATCGCACCCCGGGCTTGATTATATATAGATTTGGATAAGACACCTAGTTCTAAGCCTAATACCATTAAGTCTATCTAAAATACTAGACTCTCCCATATATCAATGTGCATAGTCAGAATCAATAACCCGGTCAAGGAGGGGAGTGGTGCAGCCTTCGGAGTCATTGTTGGGGGAAAGCTGGTATCCCTACCTCAGCTACTGCTAAGCTAGTGTGACCTCGAATCAGCCTCTGACAATTATGATTCCTACAGCTTAACACCATGACAGACAGAGGTCCAGACTATCAGTCCATGGGATCTTCTCCCGTGTGGCTCTGTGTTCCGTGCATGTCTAGTAGTCCGGAATGAATACTCCGTCGAGGAGGAGGGACATTCCGTACGCGACTTTGCTTATAGCACCGTCGCCGTCAATGCCTCCTACCACGGGTCTGGCAAGTTGTTCATGAGGACAACTGTGAAACTTTCTAATATGGTGCTGTACTGTACGGAGTACCTACTAGGTAAATATGAAAGGTAGCAAGCAGTAAGTTTAGTATACAAGTGACTAGCGGAACCTGTCGGGGGAGTATTTTCCGTCCCAGTCTCTTAGAAGGGCTTGGCTGGCTGGTACTGCAGTGGTCTGTCTCAGCGACACTGGAGCTAAGCACAGAGTATTGTAGATAATTGAGCACCTCGTACTCCGTAGTTCGAAATTGGAGAGAAGGACAAATCAATGAATCCAGCTTGGCAGTCAAGACCCTTTGTTGTCGGCGCATCTGGTCATCTGGTCCCCGATCGAACTAGACACTAGTAGGGTAAGTCCAGCACTCCGTCCAGTTGGTTAGACTAAAGACGTAGGTAACTTACTAGTAGTCTACCAGTCTCCGGGCAAGTCGAGAGTGGGCGGTCCACGTTTTTTTTACCAACGAATACCCACTCGTCACCCCTACGATCGAACGAGTGTATGTAATCTTTCCCTTCCCTCGGTCTCTCGGTCTCCTCAAATCTCCACTTCCACCTGTCGACCTTAAGTTAACTAACGAACTAACTTAACGGACTTTTGAACACTGGGTAAGGTGAAAACGAGTGCTATGACGATTGGGGATATCCACTCCTCCAATTCCCATCCAACATCCAACATCCATCCGTCTCACTACAGTCATTCCCTACACTCACTAAACTAATCGACTACCAACTAAGTTAACTGACTTAACAAACTTGCCCGCCTTTCCTCTGAAACACCCACGAGCTGTCATTTCCTCTCTTTCCACACCACCCTCCCCCCTTCTTCCCCAAACATATGAACCATTAATCATGAACCATTAATAGATCACTCAATCAATCTACAAATCTTACCTACTTACCTACCTTACCACCACTTCAATCCCTCCATCCCTCCATCCCTTTCCCCTCCAACACTACCCCCGATCGACCATTTGCCGACCGACCACAGCAGATCCTCGTTGCTTGCTTACATTATCTCACTCGAGATCCGCGCGCCTCCATCCACTTTCCCACATCAACTCCCGATCGACCTTGACTACCCTTTTTTAGCGTCAGGTCGTCATTCTCGTTCGTTTTGCTGCTCCGCACTGGGAACTCTGACACGCCCCTCACCCCAGCTTTTCCTCTCAGCTCAGACGCCGCGAGAGCTACAACGTATCTACCACGCAACCGACCCTGCTCTTTATCCAACCATCCTCCCCCTCAACCGACTCACCTCCCTAGTTTCCTTCGCCCTCGCCTTTCTCCTCACCTCTCCTCTCAACCTCCCATATCACGGGTCACACCATTTGCGGTTTCCGAAGCTTGCAGACGTCGCTCAGGCCCTCGTTGTTGTTCCAAAACCCGAACCTGTCCGGTGTGGCTTTGCCTTACACCATTCCGCGCGCAAGCCTCGATCCCTAGTCGAGCCTTCTTCGACGATCGCAAAACCTACGAGACCTCTCCATTGTCTTTCGATCGCGCCAATTTCCCCAGTCGTCCTACGATTCGACCGGTCTCAGACCTAGTTCGACCTACTGTTCGAGAACCGCATCTCCCGGAGTTTCAGGTGTCAGCGGTCTGATAGGTGGATGCCGCACGCTTCCGCAGGCAGCTAATGGGCTAGTTCTCCGCTGTCTGGGAATTATACGAGAAAATGGGTTCGTGTATGAGCTCCGAGGCGACCGGAGATGTTGAACAGAAGCGGAGGAGCCAGGCTATCGATCGCAAATTGGAAGAAGATTCGAGACGACTACGGCGAGAATGCAAGATCTTACTACTCGGTCGGTTTCGTGCCCCTTGTCTGAACGGTGAGAGTATGGAGGCCTGCGCTAACAGGATGTGTCTTGTCCAGGCTCCGGAGAAAGCGGGAAGTCGACAATTGTCAAGCAGATGAAGATCATCCATCAGAATGGCTACACGGTCGAAGAGTTGTCATTATATCGTCTGACCGTATACAAGAACCTCCTTGATTGCGCCAAATCGCTCATCGCCGCTTATCACCAGTTCTCTCTGGAACCATCGAGTCAAAAAGTTCGCGATTATATCCAGTACATCTTCGAATACAATATCAACCCCGATCCCAACGTGCCGCTCGACAGTAAGGTTGGGGATGCGATCACTTACCTCTGGAATGACCCCTGTACGTCGACGGTCTTAGAGCACCAGAACGAATTCTATTTGATGGATTCCGCGCCCTAGTAAGAGTGCCCGTCCTCTATCTCACCGCGCGCGGCCTGCACACTGACGAGAAGGAACTAGTTTTTTCGAGGAAGCCAAACGAATATCAGCTCCAGATTACATCCCCAGTGTAAATGATGTGCTTCGCGCGCGAACAAAGACTACCGGTATCTATGAGACTCGCTTTACGATGGGCCAACTAAGCATACAGTATGTGCCTCTGTTATTCCAATTTGATCACTGCGTCTTCTATGATGCTTACCTGGTGTCTAGCATGTTCGACGTGGGCGGCCAGCGCAGTGAGCGCAAGAAGTGGATTCACTGTTTTGAAAATGTCACATCCATCATCTTCTGTGTGGCGCTTAGCGAATATGACCAAGTCCTATTAGAGGAAAGCAATCAGGTATGTCTCTTGATGCTCACCGTCAGTGGATACAGCATCTAACTGGCTGGAAGAATCGGATGATGGAAAGCTTGGTGCTGTTCGACTCTGTTGTCAACTCTCGATGGTTCATGCGAACGAGTATCATCCTCTTTCTAAATAAGGTCGACCTTTTCCGACAAAAACTCCCTCGGTCGCCGTTGAACAATTACTTCCCCGATTACTCGGGCGGCAATGATGTAAATCGCGCCGCCAAGTATCTTCTGTGGAGATTTAATCAAGTCAATCGGGCGCATTTGAATCTCTACCCTCAGTAAGTCCGCCTTGTCGCCGAGACTGCAGCTCCATGATCTCTGACTATTCCCGCACAGTCTTACTCAAGCTACCGATACCACCAACATCCGATTAGTCTTCGCTGCCGTGAAGGAGACGATATTACAAAACGCCCTTAAAGATTCCGGTATCCTTTAGAGTGGGGAGCTCCTCGGCTAGTCGAAGTATTGCTGGCAGGAAATGCTATGCTGCCAGGGAGAAAAATGGCGTTTGTCAATTGGTTGATTAGATCTTCCCACCGTGATCCTCCAACCTTTTCCTATGTTCCACATGTCGGTGGGACGCCTATCTGAGGGAACTCCATTCATGGCATGGCCGCGATGTTGAGTTGTCCATGGCCTTTCCTCTGACCGTCCCTCTCTTGCCTTCCTTTCTTTCTCCTTTTCCTTGAGCCATTTGTTTTGTTTTCCTGCCTCATGATTCTCATGGTTACCCACATGTGTTGTTTTCTGTGGGTTGGCGTCGGCGTTGCGGTGCTTGACTCGTGTCACAGTTTGAAGTGCCTGGCGTTGGAATGGTATGGGTCTGTTGATTTACCTGGCAAGGTGTTATTCTGTTCCAGTTTCTTTTGTTTTAGGGTCGGGATGGCTTGCTCAATAGGGAGACTTGGTCTGGGCTGGCCATGATTGGATGCCCTTTAACCTTTCAGCGAGCTTGGGAGTTGATGAGATTTTTCATCCCAAGCTGAAAAGTTAATGGCTTCAACTTTACTTTGCATATAGCTTGTATGAGGGGGGCGCTTGATATTCAGTTCTCATGCGCTTCAAGCTGTTCCTTTTCTTTCTTGTCCTTCCTCCTCCTCCCTCCCCTTTCATTTGAACTTCCTTTTCTCATCTTGCTTTTCCTATTCCCTATTGATGTCATGCATTTGGACGGCGATCTCTCATTCCCATATCTATCATAATCTGTCTCTCTAATTCTCCATTCTTGCTATCCTTTTTTTTTTTTTCGCTACAAGTGTCCATTTCCTTATTGCGCAGTTCGCCCGTGACCGCGAATCTTCATTCATCTCTCATAATCATTGGTAGCGACTATATACATGTAATCTAAATCACGTGAATTTTCTTTGTCTTCTGTTGGAAGTGCAGCTGGACAGTGATTTTTGCGAACGTAGCAAAGCGGGGGAAGGTCATGAGGAGTGGAGGACCTTGCAGGAGGGTCAACAATGGTTGAGGTCTGTTCTCAATTATTATTTGACCGAGACAGTTCTCCTCTGTGAGTTGTGAGTAGAGTTGGAAGTGCGGGGTTGAGTTTGGGGCGGAGTTGGAGGGAGGGACGGAGGGACGGAGGGGAGTTGTTTGCAGTTGGACCAAAAGCTAAGCTGAGACCACCATTGACTGACTGATCATCACCGATCATCACCAACTCCTTAAGTATGTACTACTTACAGTACTCCCAAAGAAGGCATTGATTTCACGCCTCAATCTCCTCAGTCTCCTCAGTCATGCTCTTGCATGCTCTCTTCTGCTCCCATTTGCTCCCATCTGTACTCTCAGACAAACAGGAACAACCGAGATGAATTATTCATTCATGATTGTCTGATCCCTCGCGGGATGCAGTGGAGGTGCGTCATAGCGGCTGTCCGAGGAATTGGCGGCTGCAGCTGCAGCTCACAGCTCAGCGCTCAGCACCGCAAAGCACAGACACCGACTGACCCGTGACGTGACGGCATCACTGCCATCGCGGCCATCAAACTGAACCGCTATCTCTCTATCTTATCGGTCAGCCCTGCAACTTTCTCGTCCCATTTTCAATGTCTCACCCTCAACCCAACCGCTTCATCGTCATCACTATCACCAACATCAGTCGATGATGGTGTCATTGACCAATGAGCTGATCCAAACCATCTCTTGCTAGTATCCCAGAATATATCTACCTACTCAATACATGACACTAAGAGGCCTTCCTCCCGATTCCGAGCCATCCGTCGTGCAATTAGTTCCCACGCCATCTGGCACTATGCAAGCCCCGGTTCTACCAGGGTCTAGACATACGGTCAACGTGCATGGGGAACGGCCCAGTCAACGTGCCAACGTATGATCGGATCCCTGGTTCCCCCTCAGTATACGGAGTAGTTCTGTCAGCGATTCAATCAACCCCTCTGATCCCCTCGTCACCCTCTTTCCCTGCCTTGCTTTAATCCTGGAACCTCAATTCAATCGAGAGCTTCGTGTCACGCGGTGCGGTGCGTAGGATTCCGCTTCCTCGAGCTCTCGCATCTCGCATCCTTCTTAAGTCGGGGTTTGTCTACCCGCTCTCTGCCTTCCTTCCCTTCGTTCGTCCCCTCCTCCCCCTCCCTCGTACTCCGCTTCCTTCCCCCCATTCCCAGTGAAGGAATCTTCCTTTCGCTTTCTTTTGATGTGATTACCTTGGATTCCACAGAGTCTGATTCATTGGGTGCACGATTCTCAACTGTCGTCAGCTTCCCAGTCTCAATTACTCTCAGCGACCTTCTAGATACCGAACCTTTCACATTTCGACCGTCATAATGGCTGAAGGTCGCCGTGAAAGGAGACCCTCCGTTGGAGCTCCCGTCTCCGAGCTTCAAGGCCCTGTTGGCCCCAGCTTCAGCCGCCCCAAGCACAGACGTACTTTCACCGGCTTTGGTCCAGCAGAAATCAAGAGTGTCGAGGCTAGCATCCCGGAGCACCTGAGAGAGGCGTGAGTACTCGGTTTCACCCCTCTTCTTCGGTTACACCAAAGATCCTGGCGGCCGCTTCCCAGAGAGCTCAGGCGTATTTGCAACCAGCCATTGGAAGTCCACTAAACTAACCTGTACAATCTCTTAGGTGGAAGAAACACGTAAGCTCACAGCATGTGTACTACACCCCTCAGAGATCCGTGGCTAACATTACTCGCTGACTAGTCTGTCAATGGCTTTACCAACAAGGAAGACTTTGAGGTAGACTATAGACAAATGATTGGTGATGTCTTCACGTGCTAATAGCTATGACAGAATGAGCTGGTTCGCCACATTGAAACTACATTGGCTCGCTCGCTCTACAACTGCGATGAATTGTTGGTTCCTCCGTCCCACTCCCTCGCGCATCAAAAGAGAATCTCATAGTCGTCCAGGGCTGCATACTCCGGAACTGCCTTGGCTTTCAGGGACCGCTTGATTATCGAGTGGAACAAGACCCAGCAGCGACAGGCTTCTGCAGATCAGAAGCGGGTGTACTGTACGTGAGCCATGATTCCCCTCCGTAGGCGGACCGCTTGCTCATACTTCATTAACAGATCTATCTCTCGAATTCTTGATGGGAAGAGCCTTGGATAATGCAATGCTTAACGTCGGCTTGAAGGATGCTGCCCGAGGTAAGCGCAATACGCGGTCGTGACTGCATGAGCCCTTGCTAATGTCACATGCGATGTGCCGCAGAGGGCTTGAAGGACCTTGGGTTCCGCATCGAAGATGTGATTAGCCAGGAGCATGATGCTGCCCTGGGTAATGGAGGTCTTGGACGCTTGGCTGCTTGTTTCCTTGACAGTATGGCCACACTCAACTACCCTGCATGGGGCTACGGCCTTCGATACCGATATGGTATCTTCAAACAGGAGATTGTCGATGGCTATCAGATGGAGGTTCCTGACTATTGGCTCGATTTCAACCCGTGGGAGTTCCCTCGGCATGAAATCACTGTCGACGTCCAATTCTACGGTTGGGTTCGGAAGTATCAAGATGAGAACGGCAAGACCGTGAATTCGTGGCAGGACGGCGAAGTTGTCCAGGCCGTGGCATACGATGTTCCCGTCCCCGGATACGGCACTCGCACGACAAACAATCTACGACTATGGTCGGCCAAGGCTTCTAGCGGAGAGTTCAACTTCCAGAAATTCAATGCAGGCGACTATGAGAGTGCAGTCGCGGAGCAGCAACGCGCCGAAACCATCTCAGCAGTGCTATACCCTAACGACAGCCTGGACCGCGGTAAGGAGCTCAGACTGAAGCAGCAGTACTTCTGGTGTGCCGCCTCCTTGTTCGACATTATTCGAAGGTTTAAGAAGACAAAGAGATCCTGGAGCGAGTTCCCCGACCAAGTTGCCATCCAGCTCAATGACACACATCCGACCTTGGCTGTTGTCGAGCTGCAGCGCATCCTGATTGACCAGGAGGGCTTGGAGTGGGACGAGGCCTGGGGTATCGTCACCAAGACATTCGGTTACACAAACCACACCGTCCTACCGGAGGCTCTGGAGAAATGGTCTGTCCCCCTGGTGCAGAGCCTTTTGCCACGGCACATGCAGATCATCTTCGATATCAACCTGTATTTCTTGCAGTTTGTGGAGAAGAATTTCCCGGAGGACAGAGAAATGCTGTCTCGGGTGTCGATCATCGAAGAGTCCCACCCTAAGATGGTGAGGATGGCATATATTGCTATTATCGGATCCCACAAAGTGAACGGAGTCGCAGAACTGCATTCAGACCTTCTGCGAACGACTCTATTCAAGGACTTTGTGACCATCTATGGCCCTGACAAGTTCACCAATGTCACTAATGGCGTCACTCCGCGTCGTTGGCTGCACCAGGCAAATCCTCGCCTCTCTGACTTGATAGCTTCTAGATTGGGAGGCTACGATTTCTTGACCGACTTGACCCTTTTGGATCAATTGGAGGCATTTGCAGATGACAAGGCTTTCCAGAAAGAGTGGGAAGAGATCAAGACTGCCAACAAGCTCCGTCTGGCAAAACACATCAAGGAGACGACCGGGTACAGCGTGAACCCAAACGCATTGTTCGACATTCAGGTCAAGCGTATCCACGAGTACAAACGACAGCAGCTCAATATCTTCGGAGTCATTCACCGATACCTGAAGATCAAGTCCATGTCCGCCGAGGAAAAGAAGAAGGTGTTGCCACGCGTATCGATCTTTGGTGGTAAGGCCGCTCCGGGCTACTGGATGGCCAAAACCGTCATCCACCTGATCAACAAGGTCGCCTCGGTTGTCAACGAAGATCCCGACGTTGGTGATCTTCTGAAAGTCATTTTCGTGGCCGATTACAATGTCAGCAAGGCCGAGATCATCTGTCCTGCCTCGGACATCAGCGAGCACATCTCGACGGCGGGTACGGAAGGAAGTGGAACTAGTAACATGAAATTCGTCATGAACGGCGGCTTGATCATTGGTACCTGCGACGGAGCTAATGTATGGAAACCATCCCATGTTTTCTTTTACGGTGGCAATGACAAGGATGATGATGATGATGATGATGATGATGATGCTAACTCTGGGTGCAGATTGAGATCACGCGGGAAATCGGCGAGCAGAACATTTTCCTGTTCGGCAACCTCGCTGAGGATGTCGAGGAGCTCCGGCACCGGCACCTCTACGGCAATTTCCAGCTGGACCCCCACCTGGCCAAGGTCTTTGAGGCGATCCGCGGCGGAATGTTCGGGGATGTGAACAGCTTCTCGGCGCTGCTGGCCTCGATCGTCGAGCACGGCGACTACTACCTGGTTTCGGACGATTTCAACTCGTACATCACCACGCAGGACCTGGTGGACGAGTCCTTCCGCAACCGCGAGGAATGGCTCTCCAAGTCCATCATCAGCGTGGCGCGCATGGGCTTCTTCTCAACCGACCGGGTCATCAGCGAGTATGCCGAGAGTATCTGGAACATTGAGCCGCTTGTTGTCAAGGATTAATTCGTGACAAAACTTCACGGCCTCGATCCGGTTTTGAGTGAGTGAAATAGGGCGGGGGAGGAGGCGGGGGTTTCAAGGGAGCGAGGAAAGAGAGCTTCTTCTGTATGTGCTTATCTTTTTTGCTTCTTGCATAGTTGTCTTGCCAATACCGCTGCGCCTGTTTTCTATTCATGAGCTTTACTTCCATCGGTTCCATTCCTTTATGTAGAACTTGGCTCAAGACACGTATCTTTGGCATAATTCTTACATGATCGATCGATGCTATCAACAAGATTTAAGTACGTGAGGGAGATCGGTGTAAAAGAGGCTACAAAGGTAAAGTCAGGCAAGGGGAAAGAAATCGACCAGAGAAAACTCTATAACGACATTCAGTATATATAAACGCCCCCTCCTTAGTCGATTAGGCGATTAGCTCGGCCATGCGCTTCTGCAGTTCCGGAACGGCTCGGAGATGAAGCTCCAGGTCTTCTTTCTCACTGTTCCACACATGATGATTAGTTTAGATCTTTGGGCATGATGGGGGGACAGGGCAAACATACTCCTCCAACTTCAACCGCCGCTCCCAATCCAGCTTGGTGAAGATGTAGCCGCCCTGGCCGTCGAACTGCAGGATGCGACGGTGGTACTTCCAGAGACTGCGGCGATGGGAGACGGTCATGAGGGTGATGCCCAGACGCTTGGCGGTCTCGTACATGATGCGCTCGACCTCGAGGGTGACGGAGGAGGTGCACTCGTCGAGGATGGCGTACTGGGGCCTATGGTAGAAGAGGCGGGCCATGGCGATGCGCTGCTGCAGCCCGCCGGAGAGGACGTCGCGCCACTCCTCCTCTGCGTCCCAGCCGCCGGGGCGGTCGACCACGCCCGCGATCTCGACGACGGCCAGGATGGCGTGCAGGTCCTCATCCGTGACGCCCTTGGCCCGCATGTCGCGCAGGCTATCCGGGTAGATCACCTGCTGCCGCAGCGTGCCCCGCGACAGGTACGGCCGCTGCGGGATGTAGAAGATCTGGTCCGGCGGGGGTTTGCGCACCGTGCCGCCGTACACGGGCCACAGGCCGCCCAGGATGCGGAACAGCGAGGATTTCCCGCATCCGTTGGGGCCGACGATCAGCAGGTGGTCCCCGGGTCGTACGGCGAAGGAGAGCGCCCGCACCAGGATGTCCCCGTTCGGGGAGACAATGGGTACGTCGCGGAATTCGATCGCGTCTGCGGCTTCGGTGACGGTGCCCCGGGAGGCTAGGGTTGCAGCGTGCGCTGAGGTCGAGTCCGTCGCGGATGAGACCAGTTTCTTCTCGAAGTGGCCTGATTGCAGGTCGTCCATGACCTCGAGGAGGGTCGAGACGCGGGCGGTGTGGCCGGCGAGCTCGGAGATTTCCTTGTAGGAGAACATGAGGCGGCCGAAGGCGTCGGAAGAGGAGAGAAGCATGCGGCGGTTGGTGACGAAGCCTGTTGGTCCGGATGTGTTAGATGGTTCTACGTAATCGGTTACGGAAATCTGGAGGAGGCAGGCTTACTTTCGGTCCGATCACCCATGGTCTGGGTGACTTGGCCGGGGATCTTGAAGAAAACGGGAATGCTGCACAGGATCAGGCCCAGAGCGCCCCAAAAGTACTTGATTACGAAATCTTCCATGAAGCCGTGGTAGAGCCGTCTCCGCAGGATGCGGTTCACGTGCTTGATCAGGGTGAAATAGCCCTTGTCGAGCGTGTCCTTCTCGGCTTCGTGGCCGTGGTAGAGCGCGATCTCCTCGCTGTAGTCAATCAGGCGTGAGTGAAGGAACCGGAACTCTCCTTCCAGACGAGCTTCGTCGGCCACATATTTCCCGAAGGGCGGCGTCAGGGCCCGCATGACGTTGGCCGAGACCTGCACCAACAGACCCATGAGGAAGAGTCCCTCGCCGCCGACGCTCTTGGACAGCGAGTAGTTATAGATGGCCATGTCGAGGACGGGCTTGGCCAGGTTCGAGTACAGCTCCGCCAGACTATCGGAGAAGCGGGACACGTCGACCGTGATAAGCTGGTCCGGGTTCTTGACCCGATCGTCCAGGGCGGAGATGGCGTAGAAGGTCATATTCGAGAGGTATTTCTCGTGGATGTAGTCCGTGAGACGCTTGCGATAACTCAGGGCTAATTTGCATTGGTGGTATGACAGCTGGCGATGAGGTCAGGGAGTGGTCCTTTTCCTTTGTCTAAACATCATCCATGACTATACTCACCATCGAGTTCGTGAACGTGGCCGGCACCGCGACCATCATCCACCACACCAACCCCAACAAGAAGTCCTTCCCCTTGCCCCTCACGAGATTGCTCACCAACCGCCCGTCCAACTCGGCGACATACAGACTCAGCAATGTTCTCAGCACCAGAAACACACTGTGGCCGAACAACAACCGCAGCTCCTTACTCCTCCACCCCGGGATCACGATCTTGAGCAGCCGCAGCAGATTCCGGAAAAACTCGCGGTTCACCTCGACTTTCTTACGCGGGATATCGCCGCTGCCGCTGCCGTTGGCGTTGCCGCTGTCGCCTAGACTGCTGGTCCCGGGCCGCTTGCTCCGCATCTCCGCCTGTTGCTGGGAGGCGGCTTTCTGCTCGGAGATGGCATTGTGGATGCGTTTGGCGAGGGCAGCGAAGAGGGCTAAATAGACGGTTCGGGAGATCTGCTTGCGATGGCGGAGGTAAAGGGAGGTGAATTTGGAGAGGAGTGGGCGTAAGGGGAGGGACCAGCGCTCGGGCGGCAGGGAGAGGAGCTTGGACTGGACGGCCATGGCGGCGGCTGGGAAGTAGGCAGATAGATCAGTTATCCGCCGTAGCTAGCCAGGGTTGACGACGATAAGGGAAGCATGACACCGGATGGGGAGAACAATGAGGGAAATGAGATTATGGTAGTAGGTAAGAAAGTGGGATGAAGTTCTAGTGGGGAGAAGAGAAGAAGAAGAAGGAGGAGAAGGAGGAGAAGGAGAAGAACAGGGACAGTAGGCAAGGTTGGTTGTTGTCATGACATGTGAAAGGCCCGAATCAAGGGTGAGCGGGTCTTGCCCCGGATTTCCCTGGGCCGAGGATGGGGTTCGGTCCGACTCTACTTCCGAGAACTACAATCCTACGTTTCAACAACTATATATCTTTTTCTTCAAGTTTCGGTTCTTAAGTTGAATTCATGCACTAGGTTAGAACCTCCCATCATCATAATGTGGAAGTCATTGACCTTGTCCGGATCTCGGGCCCGTTCGCCGGCCATGCGCTCCATGAAGTCTTGGGGAGTTGTTGCTGCTGTTGATTCTTTCGTGACCCCTGGCTTGTTGGGGGATCCTCTTGCTGCGGCTCCTTGTGTCGACTAGCGGTCTTGTCTAGTTGACGGGCCTTTCTCTATAGAGAACTGATGATATATGACCGACTATTGAGTCCTGAGGATCAAAGTCGGTCGAGAGGGCCGTAGCGTCGTGAATGCCATTCGCGGAAGATTCCGATCAAGGCAGTCTAGGTGAGAAACTTCTGGAGGGCATCAATTGTACCCTCATTATCTTTGCATGAATCCTGCAAGATTATGGACAGTCTCTTCTCTTCTCATTTTCAATTACGGATTTGACAGAGCAAGTTCGAAGGCCCAACGTGGGAGAAACCGAGAACAAAAGGAAGGGTCATCTTACCGAATCGCTGCCGAACGTGATCTTGCAAACCACATCGAAAGCATAACACTGAAGCCTGAAGCCAATTATGCAGGTCAAAGCTCTGTCCGCTTTCAGCCAATCCATGTAAGCAGGCGCCGAGGACAAATATCGGCGCAGCAATCCACGAAACCCCCATGATGCGGCAGTGAACTCACCGCAGTCAACTCTACACTATAGGGGGTCCCAAATCGACACCGCTCCCAACTAATCCCGAGCCCGGCAATACAATCTAATCTGATGACGCCTCTGGGAGGGGTGAAGAAGGATTGATTCTCCTACGTGAGGCTATCTCGGAGGAACTAGCTAAGGCAGCCGGGTGGGCGGTGAGCTGGCACCTCAGGCACCAAGGCCCAAGGCCCTTGTCATAATCATCCTTCCCCCGAACCCACTGTCAGCACTAAATGCTTGGTGCCATACAGCCCAGATTTTCTACCAACAGGGACAAAGGGGGCATCTTTCCCTGTGATTGATGGTGAGTTTGCGGCAGTGAGCTTACCCAAGGCCGAGCTAAAGGAGGGTCTAGATACTATTTGCCTAGATTGACTAACTGCTGTGGGTAAGAGCCGACAGGCTCGACAAACGGTTCTCTTTGGTCAGGCTATCCAAGCAATCATTTCGCGGGGCGACTACAATGAGAAATCAACGTTCTGGGTAGATATCGGCGCGCGTCCGTTTTGCGCGCCCATGACCAAGTCGATTCTAGGAAAGCGGTCCGTGCCGTCACTTCTGTCAATGACTCCCAATCAAAGCGTCTGGCTCACACTCTCTCAGAGTGTCGCAAGGACCTACAGTGCTGGTTCCGAGATCGACTGGGATGCGATACATCGAGAGCATGAGACGCGCTTAAAATTTCTGCCGTTGCCGCCCTATTCTTTTGACCTCAAAAGTTATTGGCTGCAATACAGAGGGGACTGTTTGATCACCAAACGCAGCCCTACTCATGGGCTGAAGTCTGCTTGGAGATCATTCGAGCCTACGCCCACGATACAGAGAATTGAAAAAGAAGAGCTCGTGGCGGGCGGGGGAACGATTTCGTTTGTTTCCGACCTGAATGACCCAATTCTGCGAGCCGTGGTTACTGGACACCTGGTCAGACAAGTGGCCCTGTGTCCCAGCTCTGTCTACGCTGATATGGCGCTCACGGCGGCCACATACATGTGGAGCCGCTCTGAGCCACACAGTGTACCTGCGATGGAGATCCAAGACATGGCGGTGCGACAACCGCTCATTCTCGAAGGGCGTGATGAGCTGTTGGCATACATCACAATTTCCAAAGCTGCCAAGTCGCATTCCGCCACGGTAGCCATCAGTACGCGGCGCTACGCTGGAGACGACATAGGTCACGAGGCTATTCATGCACAATGTGTGGTTATCTTCGGCGACGGAAATGAGTGGATGGCGCAATGGGCGAAGCAACATATCTCATTCAGAACCGGATTCATAGCCTGAAGGCAGCAGCGCAGAAGGGAGAGATCCACAAATTGAAGCGCAGTATGATCTATAGGCTGTTTTCAAGCTTCGTCAAGTATAGCAAGCCATTCCAAGGGATGGATGAGGTATGGATGGACTCCGACCTGTTCGAGGCTGCAGCCCAGATTCGATTTGCATCAATCGCGACGAACAGCAAGTTTACCTTCTCCCCCATTTGGCTTGACAGTCTCATACACCTTTCCGGATTTATCCTTAATGTGAGCGAGGCCATCCCAGAGGATACGGTGTATATCTCGCATGGCTGGAAAAGCATGCGCTTTGCCACTTCGATTTCGGCGACCGGGCATTATCAGGCATATGTCCACATGCAGGAGTCGCAAGCATCTGGGAACAAGGATGTCATGTCGGGTGACGTATACATTCTCGAGCAGGACGGCAATCGCGTTATTGGCCTTGTGACCGATGTCAGATTCAAGGCAGTCAAGAGAAGGCTTTTGGATGTTCTGCTGCCTTCAACTCGAGCAGCGCTGGCAATAGCAAAACCTGAACAAAAAAAATCGCGTACCTTAGAAGCTGCGGATCGTCCGAGAACTGATGAAACCCCCTTTGCAAGACTAAGGGCCTGCATCTCTGATGAAACAGGGGTTCCAGTGAATGAGTTGACTGAAAAGACTAATCTGGCCGAGATCGGGCTTGATTCTTTGCTTTCCTTTGCAGTGGTCGCCGGGTTGCAACAAGAGCTACAAGTCGAGATCAGTAGGTCAGCGCTTATATCTAGTAAAACTCTTGGTGATCTCCGCCCGGACCTTCAGGCGACAAAATCAGGCGATGATGGCGATGAACAGGTCGACCAAAGTTCTTCAGAAGAAGGCACTGGGATCCTCACACCGACAACGAGCATTGCGAAAGAGCCCACAGACCTTTTCCAGGCATTTAAGTCCGTGATTTTCGTTGAGAGCGAGGTGGATCCCCGGGATGTTGTCATCTCGGGCACGGACTTCGCTGATCTGGGTATCGACTCCCTACTGGGTCTCGCTATCCTCAATGCTTTCCAGTACCAGAGCGGCTGTAGGCTTCCTCACTCATTCTTCTCAGACTATCCGACCTTTGCAGACGCCGAAAGGTACTTCCATTCCCGGTCGTCGACATCTCTTCCGAGATTTCCTCTGCCAGTCGGCATCTCCCAAGACAAGGTACAATCGCCGGCCGCTGTCTGTCAGTCTGTACAGTTGCAAGGCGACTCCGCATACAATGGTCCTGCTTTATTCTTGCTTCCAGATGGATCGAGCTCGGCAGGGCCATATGCCGGGATACCTGCTCTGGGTTCTGGGCGGTATTCCGGTCTCCGCGTTTGGGGACTCAACAGTCCCTTTGTGAGATGCACCCAGCCGTTCGATGTTTCTTTAACCTCAATGGCCAAGGTGTATGTCACCGAGATTGTGAGATTGGATCCTAACGGACCATATTTGCTAGGTGGATGGTGAGTTGAGTTTTCCACTCTTCATCTTCGCTTTGTCGGAAGACTTCCTATACAACCATAATCATCACTCGATCTGTTTTCTATTTTATCTCGACTCTTCGTTTCTGTCAGGAAACACCGTTGCTAACATGGACCTTGTTTATCCCCTTATAGGAGCGTTGGAGGCATTCTAGCCTTCGAAGCAGCCCGACTTCTCCGCGAGCTGAACAGAGTCGTGCAAGGCCTTTTCCTTATAGACGCCCCCTGCCCTGGAACGATTCCACCTCTGTCGCACGACACAATCCAGCTACTTGACCGGCTTGGGGTCATCACCAGCAAAGAATTGCAACCGCAACCACGACCGCAACTGCAGCAGCAGTGGCGGCAGCCCGGGCGAGAAGAAAGCATTCGTGCGCATTTCATAGGCACCATTCAGGCGCTAAAGACATATATTCCCCTTATCGAGCAGAGAGGATGATGCTGATGCGCCACCATCGCCCAAATGTCTGACTCTTTGGGCGAGCGATGGTGTATGGGAAACCATTGAAAAAGCCAAAGGCGCAGCAGCAGCCGCCAGCATGCGGGTGGCAATAGGAGATGATCACGATACTGCTACTGCTGCTCATCGTTGGATCATGGAGAAAAGAACTACGAGTGACTTGGGAGGTGGTGGTGGGTGGGAGGCGCTCTTACCTACAGTTGAGGTAGAAGTGGTTTCTGAAGACCATTTCACAATCATGAGATCGCCACAGGTATGTGTTTCGTCTCGCGCAAAAAAGAAAAAGCAAGAGAGGGATGAATAGAAATATTAAAAAACCCCAAGATCTTTCTGACTGGAGAACAAAAAGCGTGGAACAACTGATACTTTTCCTGACAATTTATTTGTTTCATCTGCATTTCTAGGATAATGAATTTGCGAAGCTCGTGTCACGATACATCGAGGAATTTTTGAACTAAGGCGATATTCATGGTCCTGCGTGTTCAGTGGGCGATCACTGAGTGCACTGCAGTGTATACGAGCTGTAACTACTAACAACCTTCCATATATGATAGCTTCGGGGGTGAGTCGATAATCAACCATTATTCGAGGATTTATCAAGCAGACCCTCCTTCCGTTTTATAAAAAAGTGATTTGCTTTGAGTCTGCGGTATTCCAGTGCAGTAGGTCCAGTTACTATGATTCACATATCAATGTATGAGCCTTTCCTGCTAACTCGACAACCAATCCACTTAGTTAGACGCATATTTCCCCGAGGCAATCAGGCTTGGGATTGTGCACGAATTCCAGTTTTGGGACTTGTCGAACAGGATCTCGATGGGCCCGATTGGGGGATACAGCGTCAGGCGAACCCCACCTTCACCGGATGGCATGTAAATTCCCGCTGAAAACTGTTTTCCTGTTACACCTGATATTTTCACAAGTGCAGCAAAGTTTTCTGGTCCATAAATAGTGATTCCAGATGCGACTGCTGCGAGTGACGTTTGTCCAAACAGACACTTGGCAGGAGAGTCCGAGTCCTCCGAGTCCTTAACCTGGCCCCCACCCAGGGCTGTTAACTCAAAGTCGCTGAAACCATCGCCCCAGCATTGAAATGTGAGGTAGTTGCTGATTTTCGGAGAATCGGAGTACAGGATGCCATGGACTGTGATGGGCTCCGACTCGAGCCCCAGTGTGAGACATTTGAGCGCCTTGGTCAAGTCGTCCCCCCGGGGTACGCCAGAACGACTAAGTAGCGTCCGTAACGCTTCGACCTCAACGCCAGTCACGGCGGAGCTTTTCACCTCGTTGATTGACTTGGCCCACACCCCAAACAACTTTGAATATGTACTATGTACGCGTAACTAGTATGGCGTAGAAGCAGATCCGCGGTCTTGGATAGTGAATACATGTATAAGGTAGTCATAATCAATCCAAGATTGGACGGCAAATCGACCAGGTCAGTGTCAGTGAGTGGGTCCGATCAGTCCGGCAAGCGCCGTGGATTTCAAGGTTGGTGGTGCTCCGGAAGTCTTATCCGCCCCGGGGCTGTACGGACCGCCCTTCAGCAGTAGATACTACTCCGTACTCCGTAGTGATAGAGTAGATCAGGCCCGCAGGCCCGCTTTGAGATACTTTGACAGCTTGTTGTTGCTGTGTACAGGCTTAACTCGGTGGGCTGTAGAGTATCAATTATTCTTGATATATAAGTTTGATATAGTAGCTGTACTGTACCTATGCCGATGGACTTGTGGTGCGATGTGCGATTACCTTGTAGTATTAGCCGGGTATCAAGGGAAAGTGGACTTGCACAAACAATACTCCTGGGTTTTCTACCTTGCGACTCTAAAGGACAGAGCACCCCCCATGATACTTAACCTGTCGAAGCGGGATCCGCAAGAAAGTGCAAGGCAAGGAGTGATGGTGGAAGAACAAAAGACACAACAGCAAGAAGCCTAGATCGATATCTCTGGGTGTAAGTGGGGGAAGTACTGTTCTTGTGGTTGGTTGTCGCTGACGAGCTTGGTTATTTCTGTGGGGTATCAAGCAAGGGAATTTTCTTAGCTATACTATTCTGGGTTGTGGTTGAAGAGAAATAACACCCTTACAAAAGTGATGGTCTGTTAGTTTGTATTGTTGTAACTTGGTCCATACACAGTTCAGACGCCTGGTGATAGTTATGGAGGAAGTAATAACAGTTTCAATTGAAGCGGTGTAGGCCCCTCGTACAATCCAAGAGTAGCCAGAGCAGCTAGTGTGAGTTTATGAAGTAATCAGTAAGTACCTCTTCCAAAAGCAGCAGCACCTGCCACAAGTAAGCAGACAGGACTCGCAGTAAAACATTCCAGTGATATAACTACTAGGAAGAATATTCGAAATAAATAATAAGCACTGTCAAAGTCCAAAATAGCCCATTCTCGATGGACACGCTTCCATAGATTACAAGCCAATATAAAAACCACTTTGAGTCGGAAAAAAAAAACAATCAAATATATACATCGCTGTGCTAAAGTCCTCTCCCATGATCAAAGTCCCAAAATGCACAGTTTCACAAAGAAGTGGCTGGCTACCCGACTCCCATGACAAAATAAATAAAATCAGATGGCCAACATAGAAACAAAAGTATACCCACCCCAAACGAGGCAATAGTCGTTGGAGATATAAGGTTTCAGTTAAATGATACACCCTTTTTTAACAGGGTGGTGAACGATCAGGCTCGGGGGCCTGATTCGTCCGTTGAAACGAACCGGGCAAAGGTGACGAAGGTCTCTTCTTGCCGCTGTTGAACTGCGCGGCGATCTGGCTCTGACGGAACTTCTCGAAGGTCTCGGAATCCTGTTTTTGCGCCGCCCAGAGCTCGTCCACCGTGGTGCCGAGATCCTTGAATGTCTTGGCGGCGTTCACACTCTCAAAGTTCGAGCGCATTTGCTCCACGTGCAGGCGGTCGAGCTTGTCGCGCAGAGCCGCGATATGGGATTCGTCGAATGTTAGAGACGACGGGTCATCGTCCGTCGCGTCGAAGGACGGGCTGAGGAAATCCCGCCGCAGATTCTGGCCCAGGCGGTGCACGTGGCCTTCCTCGTGGGTCATGGCGCGCGAATGCAGGGAGGTGATCGAGCTCGCCCGGGAGAGGCGGACCGCGTACTGGTGATCATCCTCGTCGTCCGCAGCGGCCTCGCCGTCGCCGTTCGCGGCATTGGGCGGTGTGCCGTCGCCAGCGGGCGCTCCCCATCCATCTTCGCCGGAATTTTGGGAGCTGGTTTCGGGGAAACTGTATGGAATTGCCTGCGGTACAATCCGCGTCTCAGGATATTCGTCTTCGAATCGCTGGATCATCCTCTGCAAGGTGAAATCCAGGAACTGGAGACGCCCTGGTGAAAATAGAAAGTTAGTGCGGGTTGCGGAACGAGGGGAAGGGACAAATCTTACTGTAATTGTTATCATTGCCAGCCCGATCTTCACGTACGAGGGCCGACTGGATACGGGTCCGAATGTTGCGTGCAGATTCCAGGAGGTTTTTAGACATGTCCCGAGGCTTCCTAGTTACGAAGGACCGTGATTTCCGGTGTCGAGGTGTCGCTGTGCCACTGGGAGGCCCAGATTGGTCCCCTGGCAAAGAGCGGTCGAGATTACCAAGGCAGACACCCAATGCTTTGACCACGCCGGTACCACCGATAACATAGTCTTCATCAGGCGCCGGCTCGTCGTCCTCTTCAACGACTTCTTCTCCGGCACCATGACCAACGATGTGCTGCAGAATCTCCGGAACATGCACGGTTGAGCGTGTAGCCGAAATGTCGAAAGAGTCCGAAAGCTCGACCGCCATGGCACCCTGTTCAAGATTTTGGAGAGAGTATGCAACGATTTGAGATGCCAGAGCCTTGACAACTTCATTGTTCTCCGCAGTTGGAACTTCAATGTCGACAGCAATAATGGTGCGAGACACGCGCACGGCTGCCATCAGCGAGGCATAAACCGCGCACGCTTCTTCCTGGGTCGCAGGATCAGTTGCTGAAGCCAGGGCCGTGATCAAGGGATTTTCCAGGATGTTGAGATGGCATAGGCTCGGGCACTCCGGCAGAACCTCGGCTAACGCGATAGTCTGATCAGGTGACAGGTTCACATCAGCGAGATGAATCCGCTTGAGCGCAGGCATTTTCGGAAGGAAGCGCCTAAAGGTTGGCAATGCGTCGGGTTTGACGGTGAACAGGTCCGGGTTGTGTGAGAAATCAACAAAGCGCAGATCAGGCAAGCATGCCAGCTCCTGCAGCAATGGATAGACCGCAGTGGGCGTGAGCGAGCAATCAGCCAGACTCAGCGCATAGAGCGGGTGGACTTCAGAGACAGCAGATGTGATCAAGTCAAGGTGATCCCGAATCGGATTTCCGCCCAAGTCAAGACCCTCGCATTTTCCAGCCTTCAAGTAGCGCACAACATGTTCCAAGCTCTCCCGTGAAAGCCCGTTGTTGGCGAACCCAAGTCTCCTCAGACCTACAGTGGTCGCTGCATCGCAGATCCGCTGGGTATCCTCGATCGTCGGGTCACATTCACTGAGGAGAAGTTCCTCAAGATGATCTCCGCCATACCGTTGTGAGAGCGCGTTGGCGAAGACAGCCGTCAACTCGGTGGAGGCTGTTGTACAGTTCCCAGGCTGGACTGCCAACTTCCCGGAGGAAGTGATAGGTATAGGTACCCGGGGAAGTGGGATGCCTGAGAGATCAATGGCCTTCAAGGACTTCGAAAGGTGGACAAAAAGACAAATATGAAGCCATCCCTCCGTACCTATTTTAGGATTGCCTTTGAGTGACAACTTTTCGATGACGCTGAACCTCTCTTCCTTTTCCACAGACTGGACCTCTGATTTATTGCCCCTTTTGCGTTTGCCCCACATATGCTCAACCGTCCGCGTGGAGAGCAAAGCAGCAAGAATAGACCGAACCGGATCATCCGTCAAGGCACACTCTTCCAGAATAAGCTTTCGAACCGGAACAACAGCCAGC